TAAATATTTTCATTGTATCGTGGATTATCATCTACGAGTAATGTGTTGAAACACCAGATATTACAGTTATGGAATTTAAAACTTTTAAATAAATGATTAAAAATTCTGTTAAGCTTTTTTAATTTCATAATTTTAAATTTCTACTGAAGGCCACTGCAACAAAAAAATAAACAATAATAAAAGCAATTAAATTAAGAATTTTTAAATAAATAATGTTATTTTTAATAGAAATTTAGTTTCAGGAACAATAGTATTGATATTTAACAACTAAAAATAAAGATATAATTAATTAATTCAATTAATCGACAGCTAATTTATAATTTCGTTCAAATATAACACAGGAAGTGAATTTGTTAATAAAACTTTCACAACAAAGTAACAAAACTTCAGGGAAATGTGCGAACATAAAAAGTCAAGTACGGCTTTGTATCAGTTGGTTACGGTGCGCTGACTCTGAGCTACAAATTTGACAGGACACGAGTTCGATTCCTGCTACTTGCAGTTTCAAAATTTATTTACGAATAATAAAGAGGTTTTTTCGAACAGTAGTGAAATACAACAACAAAAATTTATTTTTTATATTATTTTAATTAATTGAATTTTTGGATGACCATACAGCTGTTTCGAGTATTGCCAAATACCCATCATCAGTGGTCTTGGAAATAATTCTTGTATTTAAATAAATACGTAAATAATTATTTTTTGAGACTGCAAGTACCAGGAATCGAACTCGGGTCCTGCCAAATGTGAAGCTCAGAATCAGCGCACCTTAACCAACTGATCCAAAGCCGTACTTGACTTTTTTGTTCGCATATTTTGCTGGATTTTTGTTACTATTACTATGAAAGTCTTTATTAACAATTGTACTTGCTGTGTTTATATTAGAACGAAATCATAAACCAGCTGTAGAATAATTTTACGAATAATTAAATACAAGAATTTTTTCCAAGACCACTAATGATAGGTATTTGGCAATACTCGAAACAGCTGTGTAGTCAGCCAAAAATTCAATTAATTAAAAAAAATAATATGAAAACAATTTTTGTTGTTGTAGTTCACTACTGCTTAAAAAACGTTTTTATGAAATTTAGTTTCTTAACTCAAATTAATTTAAATAATAATACAAAATTATTTACTAATTTTAAAAATGCATTTTAGATGTTGTACATATATGAATGATTAAAATATCTAGATAAATGATATTGCTACTAATTTTAAAAACAACTTTTGATTTAGTATTAAACTCTAACTAAAATAGTTACACGTGCTTGTGACAAAAACTTTAACTTAACCACAACAAATTGAAGATAAAAGGATATCGCTTTCATTAGCAGGATAACATTTTCCTTCAGTAAAACTTTGGATATAAATTTATTGCTTAATTCTCTTTGACGTGTAAAAAGTAGTTTTTTTCAAAAGTTTTCACTCCTTATGTTATTCACTCCTAAACCAAAATTACATGCACAAGTTTCAGTTTGGTCAGTACAATTTTTATTTTATTTAGGCTTTATACCACAATGTTATCCTTTTTTCACTAATTTTTAGAAAACACAATTTTAGGACAACAAATACAATTATTTGTAAGCATACATTAAATTTAAAACATATTTAATCAGTTTCTATATGAGTTCACCCATTTCATATTCTTAATTTGTTAGTAATATTGTCACACATAGTGCTTATTATACATTTATTACTGTTCGAAATATATTTTTAATACCATATTTGGACAGAATCATCCACTAATAATTTATTGCTTGAGTTACAACATTAGTTTAAAGTTCACATTAAATTAGTTCGTACAGTTAGTACGTTACAGTTTGCAAGTAATAGCTGCATAAAATTGTACCAAATGAGAATTGTAAATGGAATGAGATTTCAGTAAACACATTTTAAGACAATAAATATAGTTATAAATATTTGTAATTATATATTAAATTTACAACATATTTAATCAGTTTTTATATGAGTTCACCCATTTCATATTCTTTATTTGTTAGTAATATTGTCACACATAGTCCTTATTATATTTTTATTGCTGTTCGAAATATATTTTTGATATTATATTTGGACAGAATAATCCACTCAAATTATTGAAAATGTAATACAACGTTAGTTTAAAGTTCACATTAAATTAATTCATACAGTTACTATGTTACAGTTTGCAGTTATTAACTGCATAAAATTGAACCAGATGAGAATTATAAATAGAATAAGATTTTACGGTAATGTTATCATATTTATTAAATAGTAAATTTCGCACACACAACTTACTATTATAATTTTTATAAGGATAAACCCCCTAGTTTTCATATATATATACAAAAAAACACAAAAAAAGAAACATAAAACTTAAAAATTTTTCAAATATATCCAGCAATAGTTTACTTCTTATTAAAATTAAAATTCAACGTTTGTGTAATTTTTTTTTTGCTTTTATATATATTATACATTCGACACTCCTTGAGAGTTATCATGAGGATGAGAGAATTTACTTATCTTTATATTTCTTAATCTTGATGACGACTCTCAAGAGAAGCCGAAATATAGAATATATTATAAAAAAAATATTGTTGAATATTATTTTTAACAAAAATTGACCGGATAAAAAATATATAACAACCATTATTAAAAAAGACAGATCGGGAAATAAATTCAAAATTTAATAATTTTAAAATATATTAAGACAATACTCGTATTATTCTTTATATGTTTTTTGTAAATTTTTTTAAAGGTCATTGCATAAATACTTTGCAATTTATTTTGATTAATTTATTTGTGCCCTTTAATCCCTTAACGAGCAGCTTTAATTAATTTTTATACCAGCAACCAAGAGGTACTTTCCAAAGTAAATACAATACGAATGAAAGTCAAGTTCTGTTACAGTACTGAGTATACAGTGCAATATATCCGATCGATTGACATGTTTATACAGCAAATCGTTGTGAATGTATTTACTATACCCAGTAGAAATATGTATAAAATTTCATTTTGATATGAGCAATGGTAACTGATAGTAGTGCTTTGAGCAAATCTGATCCTAATAAATTGAACTTTGCCTTTGGCCTTGTTTTAATTAAATTCTACACGGCATACATTCCAACCAAAAACTAAAATAAATATGAGATATGTTTAGTAACAAGATACACAATGTGCAGATTTATCTGTGAACAGCTCGAGTTTCTTTACAAATCAATTTCAGTCATTTTACTCGTATCTATTTACGTAACATATCTACGTCACACATTTACGCAATTTAATTGTCTCACCGCACTTAGGCTTATGGCCGGGAAACGTGAGTGGCGTCACACATTTAGACATCCAAAATCAAATTAATAAATTAGAACTCACCAAATATGCTACCTCATTGATTATGACATCGAGTTTCCAATTTAGAAATAATTTTTTTATTGCATTAATTATAATTTCCGATGCCAAGTGAATCAATTCCCTTGCCATTTCAAATGCAATTAACGTCACCTTTAGTTCATTATTTTTAATAATTTCTGTTTAGCACTTGTGTTGACAAGATTGGATGATAAGTAATTGCACTTAGCCAATAGACAATAATTAATAAATAAAATAATTACATGAAATCGAAAATAAAACAAATAAAAAAGACCTGCTGTCTTGAAATAAATATTAAATGAATTTCATAAAATTTATAGTAAAATTTAAGAAAATTTAATAATTTTGTTTGAGCAAAAAACTTACTGGAAAAGTTTTTCTAATATTAACATGAAAGTCAATATTATTGAATTAATCCGAATTTTCATTCATAAAATAATTATTGTTTATTTTGAATTTTTA